ATGGTTGTCAAACAGTGAAGTTGTGAACTTGTTGGTATGACTGTTTGTTTCCCTGCAGCTTTTCAGCATGAGTATGGCCACACACGCACATGTGCAAACACACGCACACACACGTCACAGCATCACACAGCATCAGATGGTAGGGAACATAGCAGCAACAGCCGCACAAGTTACAACACAGCAACGTTTAGGTTGGAACCCTATATAAGTCGTAAGATTACACTAGCCTGTTCAAAGATATTTGGAAGTTTTTTTCCAAAACATATGTGAGGTTGAAAGCTCAACATATTGTCAAAGCGTGTGCCCCGCATTCTTTCAAATTTGGATATGAAAGTTCAAAATATTTTAAAATTTTCCATTTGTTCTTTCAAAATTAAATCAACCAAAAAGATTTGTTGGTAGTTCACCTAAAACATGTTCAACATTGAACTCATTTTCAACAATTATCTTGAAAATTAAATTCACAGTCTTGAAGTTGAAAGTTCAAAGTATTTCTAAAAAATACCTGACACTTTTCCAAATGTACATTCAAAAAAGGAAAACTGTAATTGTAAAGAGTTGTTTACATTTGAAACCAACAAATCACATCTGATCAAATCTGATCAAAAGTAGTGTTTTGATCAGATTTGATTAGATTTGACCAGGTTTGAAAAAGTATTATTTCAACAATAGTTGTTTAATTTAGTTGTTAAAAAATATTTGGTGTAGGTCCAAACTTATTTCAATTAACTTTGTTTTCCAGTTTTTTCATGTTAATTCAATGTTGGTGAGCTTGTTCAGTTAACTTTTTTAAAAAGCCCTTTTTATTTCAAATATTTTTCAATCGTTTTCAAATATTTGGTGAGGTCCAGTTTAAACTCTTCAATTCAAAATGTAAAAATCGAAATCTTTTTATTGTACACACTTTTTGAGAAGATTGAAGCACCAGCAAAGACTGGAGGCACTGCTGAAGAACAAGCAATTGTTCTCAAGGAAAGCCTCACCAAAGAGGAGCATGGAAAGGTATGGGGCAGGCACCAGACACACCTGCAGAAAAACCCTTTGGAAAAGGGGGAGCTGGAAGGCCTGTCAAAGAAAGAAAAAGGCATGAAGGCTGCTGAGTGGCTGATGAGAACAGCTGCCAAGAAATACCTTCATGTCACGAGGGAAGTAGCTGCTCAAGAGCCTTTGGAAAAGGACAACACTTGGAAGTCAGAGAAACAAATGCTGGACAAATTTGATTGGCAAGAGCGCCAGGCCCACCTGGCCTCAGGCAGGGTCACCTGGAGGCATGACCCTCATACCCCCTTTGTCTACCAATGCAAAGACTTGCAATCCTACAAAGGATCTGTGGTGGTCAATAGAGGGCAGAGATGGCAGCAAGGCCAAGAGATGGAGCCTGGTGAAGAGGAAGGTCAGCAGCTTGACCAGCTCTATCACCAAGAGGCAATGGGGCTTGGCCTTGCAGACATCTCTGGCAAAGGCTTTGGGAAAGGCCAGCTCAAGGGCAAGGAAAGCTCTGGAAAGGGCAAGGGCAAAGGCTTTGAAAAGGCAACAAGAAGTCTGAGCTGTTGGCCATCAAAGACAATGAGGGTCAGGAGGGGGGAGAAGAAGAGGAAGGGGAAGACACACTGAAGGAAGCTTTGAAAAAGGCGAGGAGGGCCAGAGACCAAGTTGCAAGTGTCCAAAGTGATTTGGAAGAGGCTTTGGGAAAGGCCAGCTCCAGATTGAGCCAGAAGG